TACAAGAACTTTGAAATCTCATTGCTTGTTTGTTTCCTGCCACATGCAGTTTTCCTGCCTCTGAAAACAAAATGTTGGTCATTTGGGAGCTTCCTATTACCTTCAGATAGCAAAGATAAAAGACTGGGAGAAACAGTAAATCTACCAAAGCATACCATACAAAGGTATTTACCTGTTCTATATCTGCTAAGATTTAAGTGACACCTACTCAGTGGTCATTTACATGCAGTTCTGTGTATGCCAGTAAGAGGTATGCTAGACGGAAAAAAAATGCTTGCAAACATCATAAATAAGAAATGAAACACTCCCCCAGACCTGGGTCTCCAGTGCACATATATTAATTACACACCAGAGAGTAAAGCCTCAGTATGTGCAAGCATTTAATTCATTATTTGCATTTATTAAAAACATTCCTTTTCACTTTAACAATACAGTAACCCAACGGTGAAATAACAGCAATTCAAATGCGGTCATTTACAGACATGCGGTTTCTTATGCCCATTGTACAGTGCAGCGCTGCCAAGTCTCACACCTTAGGAGTAAGCTCTTGCTCTCTCCTCTGTCACACACGTACATGCACACACATACAAAATTTACATGTCTGCTCTCACCTATACTCTTTTGGGAAAACCCACAAATTTCATCAATCACACTCATACAGATTTAAAAATCCTGGCAGCTTTTGAATAGCTTTTCTTCATCAGCTGCAATTAAGTGTTGGAAAAGAAATCCAAAATATACAGAGAGAGACTTTCTCCTTAATAGGAAATGCTAGCAATAGTATGTGATTTCTAATATGTTCCAAAGTTTTGCCACGCCATCTTACTGGAAGGCAAAGTCTGCATGCCCTGTGATTAGATTTCCTTAAATGCTGGGCAATTCAGTGTTGTCAGCCATAATATAAAACATTATTTATAACTGTTTAACTGTTTTAAGAGTATAGTTAAATAGCTTTCTGTAACGTGATCTTAAAGCAGTTGATTAAGTGTGCTTTACAACGTGACCAGAAAGAGCTTCCGATTAGTGACATCGATACATATATTTTACATCTCACATGGCCTATACTTTTAAAAGTTGGGAGTGTTGAAATAGGAGTCAAACCAAAATGAAATCAAATCATTAGAACTGAAGCATTTCCTTACCACACTTCATCAATATCATCATGTCACGCCAATAGATTGAATATGCACAACATAAAATACCTTTCTCTGGTAATAAACCTAGAAATATATAATTTTTCTGTCACTCATACAAAGCAAAGATGGGCCTCAGGGGGAGAGTTCAGGGCTGGATCCAAAACTCATCATGGCTTTGGTTCAGGCTGTAACACAGAAAGTAAACAGAAAAAATGTTAGGCTCTGGATCTGAATAAAAGTTCAAATATATCCGAGGTTAAACAGATGTGACGGGGACTTATTTCTAATTTCAAGGCTATAAATTGCTAAAGGAGCTCACAGGTTTAAAAAGACAGTGTAGTTACGAAAATAGTAAATGTTTTCCAAATATGCAAGACTGTTCCCTGGGAGCCTGTAATTGCCCCACACTTCCTTTGGCAATTCCGGTTAGCTGCTTACACTCTTTATTCCTCGTTCATCTTGTGCCTGAAGAGGGACTAGTCTCATCCTGGCAAAGAAAGTCCCAGTATAATTACAAAGCAGGGGAATTTTTACATCCCAGACTGAATTTCAAACTTCTTTGAAATCTGGTAATGTTCAAACCCAGTGACTGCATTCACATACATTTTTACCTTATTTAATATTTCTATCAAAACCACAATTGTAATTTGCCATTGTATATTTTTCCTCATATTTATGCACTTCAGAAATTGAGATACTAAGAAAAGGGTTCTGCAAGCTTTTTATTTCCAAATAAATACTTCAGTTAAATGTATTTTGCCAACAAAATGAGACATGTATTATTTGGGAATTGTACATATAGATACAAAGAGACAGAGAGAACTGATTTTTTTCAGCCTTAAGAAGAGAAGGCCACAGGGAGACCCTACTGCGACCTACAACCCGCTAAGCAGCGGGTGTAGAAAAGATGGAACCAAACTCTTTTCAGAGGTGTACAGTGAAAGGACGAGAGGCAAGAGACAAAACTGGAACATGGGAAATTCCAATTTGATATCAAGAAACTTTTTTACAATGAATATTTTCAACCACTGAAAGAGATCCTCTAAGTGACGGTGGAATCTCCACCCTTGGAGACATTCAAAACGTGGCCGGGCAAGGCCCTGAGCAACATGCTCTCCTTTGACCTTCTCTGGAGGTCCCTTCCAACCTCCATGGTTCTGATTCTATGACATACAAAGGGAGAACTGAATCAAAAAGATACTTGACGTTCACCATTTTTTCCTTAAAAAACCACCCAAATATTGCATAAACACTGATTCTACATGCTTAGAGTACAATTCCGGTATACATGAAAAGTATACAATTTGTTGTAAAATACTGGCTTGGATGAAAACAGTTTCCAGTTACTGAAATCAGTGGGGTTGAAAAGGTGAAAATCCAGTCAGAAGGAGATGGGATTATTGCCATCATACCTGTAATAAGCTTTTCTAACTGAATTAGTGTATTAGTGTTAGTGAGTCTGACAAGACTAGGTATTCACTAGAAATGCTGATATCAAACTTCTTTTTTATTTTACAATTTTAAATATTTGGTGGAGAATGTAGGCAAAGATAGAAAAATAGTAGTTTTTTTTCTACTCAAGAGCAAGTTTTCCAAAAGATTTATATCACATGGATACTATAATGAGATACTATCTCATGATACCTTCTTAGAAAATTCAGACTGACTAGGGGACTCAACCATTAATTCTCAGAGCAAGTGCAAGTTTCACCAGTTACAATCACATATTTCTTGATTCAAATCTTTGTACCAGGGCAAGCATATTGATTGTTGATCCTAGGATAACAGTGCATAACTTGTCCATTTGGATAAAGTCCTTCATTTCTCAAAGGAACAATAACAAAATGAGAAAAGGTTCTGCACCATCTTTGTGTAGAATAGCTATAAGTTCTAGAGGGGTAAGATTGGCATCTAAACTTAGGATACATATACATACATGAGAACACTTATTAAATCATACATTTATTTCAGTAAGAAATGTTTTTAATTTGAATAATTGAAGAAATATTTTTATATTATATGTATTATAACCACTATATATGTGTGGTTAAGA